GCAGACCTACTGCTTTCTATATCTTTGCTGTGCAGAGAGATAGAAAGTAGCAGTCCATGCTGACAGGAAAGAGATCTGAGGTTGTCGATCATGTGCTGTTTGCTGGAAGGAGGGAAATGACTCATGCAGATAGCAGAGGAATGAGAGAGCAATCAGAAAATTACAAAAGTACTTTAGGTTAAGGCAAGTATACACTATAGAAAGATATACTTTGTTCATTTTTAATTACAGGCGTTTACAACCTCTTCTTGGTACACAAGTGGTTTTACATTTTTTTGGGTGCTGGGTATAATTAAAAAGCATGTTATAGTTATAGGGCCAGTTCACATTGGAACGCAAATTTGCATGCAATCCTTTGTGTTCCCGACAAGTGATTTTAACAGCCCTTTTACTTGAATGGACTACACATTTCACTGGAACATGCAAAACACACTGCACCAAACAGCATTATACTGTGGTATCAAATGATTTTCTCGCATCACACTTTGGTGTGAATCAGCCGTTCACACCAGCCGTTCAATAAATGGACTAATTTAGAAATAACCTTGTAGACACATAGGTAAATGGTTTGACTCCTTTCACATTTCCCTATTGGCCCATAACCTTGATAGATGGCCTCACTAGCCAATAGGTGCAACAGTAGAAGAGGGTGGGCCAGCACAGGAGTAAGTTACCCATTGGAGCAGATAGAGTTTAACTCATATAGATGTCTGAAGTTACAGTATGTGCTGGTTCTTATAGCCAGCTGGCAGATTTATGAAAACCAATAGGTGCACCATCTACAGTATATTGGAGATCAGAACCTGAATCTGCTTGGTATCTATGGGTTATGGATCTTTAATGAATAAGGGAATATAAGTGTTGAACAATTGTGCATACGTCTGTTAGCTTGAATGATTGCTCATAGACTGGTAAGCTTAAAGAACATGCAATCCAGCATCCCCTTTCACCTGTACAATCCCATCCAACTCTGGTCCCTTGTCTCAACCTAGCTACCTCCTTTTCGAATGATGAGAGGAGAGCTATGAAATACCAACATCTCCTGCCACATACTAATTTCACAGCTAGTAGAATGTATTCTAGTTTGTGGTAGGCCCACCGTTCTACCTTCTGTGTCAGATGGTCTTGCTTATTTCAACTTTTCTAAAATTGAGAAGTTTTTCCATTAGGACACCCTCACACATTTTATGTATGTGTCCCTTACAGTTCAGCTCATGCAGAAGCAAACCGGATTACCTTTCACTATATTAGGGGAGTTGATGTGTACCTGAACCCAAGAACAAACCTTCTATACAGTATACCCTATAAATCCTGTTACCAGTCATTAGGTGTGGTGACTGAATTAGTTTTAGTTCTCAGGCTTTTTTTCCCTTTATTTTCAACCTAGTGATCCTGCCAGTGTCTCAGGATGAGATTTAAGTTCACTGCTACCATGGATTCAAAGCAAATCCTGTGGGTATGAGGGTTTGTATGTATGAATGTGAGCTAAGGACCTTAGACTGTAAGCTCTTTCAGGGCAGGGACTGATGTGAATGTACAATATATATGTGTAAAGTGCTGCATAAATTGACGGCACTATATAAGTACCTGTAATCAATAATAATAATAAATAAATGAACCCAGGCAGATATTGCCATCACTACCAGTAACACACTTCTTGTCCTAGGGCGACAACATTCACCCACTGCACTTTATCTGTCTTACCAACCATTATGTATACAAACGTTCCTCTCTGCCAGTTCCCTTCCATTGGCTTTCACTCACCCAATGAATACAAATAAAAACACTAAGCACAACACCAACCTCCTTTCAAAATATCACCCAAAGCATTCCCTTCGCTCCTCCTGAGACCTGCTTTCTAGTTTTCTTGTCACCTCCACCCATGCTCACCGCCAGGACTTTTCCAGAGCTTCTCCCTTCCTCTGGAACTCTCTAACCTAATCTGTCCACTCTGTTTGGTTTTAGGTGACTCCTTAAAACTCATCTCTGAGCCCTGGTTTACATATATGCGGCCGTGTAGGCCGCATTTTGCTCGGGCACGAGAGCCCATTCATTTGAATGGACTCCCGTGCACTTCTGCTGAAGTCCCTGCACTTCTTCTGAAAACACAACCCACACATGAACCTTGGTTCCCAGTACGGTTGCGTTTTCCAGTGCGGGCGGAGTGCCATTAGAACTAATGCACCCGCCCGCGGGTCCACATTCCTCTGTGCAGGTAGTGCGGCTGCACAGATTTTCATGCGGATCCGCAGCGGCACCACCCACACAAATGTGAACCTAGCCTTAAAGGGAAGTCTATTTCACCTTTGCCTAAAAAGTGAACTTTTACTTTCTGTTGGCACTATGTAAATCCTGTATAATCCTGTATATGAATGCTTAAAAACGCTCATTTCTCACTGTTTCAGGCATTTTCCATTGAAGTCTATGGGGAGAAAAACACTCAATTCTGACTGACAAGTGTTCATGTACTTTTTTCAGCAACAGACATTTTTGCTGCAGGTGACAAAACTAATTGAAATAAATTGAATTTTTCTTGTTGAGCATTTTTGAGCTTCGAACTGCAAAACGCTTAAGTGTGAACAGAGCCTTACAGCTCTGTAGAAGAATTCATTTTTGTGGAAAATGAATTCCAGAGAAACCTGCACACTTTCTTTCTATTTTATATATTTCTATATTACCCAAACAGTACATATATTATCATTACCCAAACAGTACATATATTATCATTACCCAAACAGTACATATATTATCATTAGCCAAATACTACATATATTATTATTACCCTATTGTGTAGCTGTAACATATTCCCTTGCACTTTATTCTTATTTTGCAACAAAGTTAACATGAACCTGTCCACTGTTTTCAAAGGTGCACTGATCGGGGCCATCATTTTTTTTCACTACTTATTGAGCAACTTACCCAGAACAAGCATGCAGCCAGTAAAAACACTACATCAAATATGCACATACTTATTCCAGGTTCAGTGCCTCACCAAGTATAGAAGTAAGGATTAGGGTGAAAACTTTGGAATTTGTGCCATTAAAACATGGCAGCTCACATACATCTCTCCTGTCATTTTCCACCAAGGTAGGTACTGTAAATGCCAATTCCCCTTTAAAAATTCACTATAAATAATGATGTAATTCTGGTTTCTGAGTGCACAGTGAGAAATACAAGAAAGAAAATTCAGCATGCGCCCTAATAATGTCTATATGTGCTGGGTACATAGTAAGCCATTGCATATGATTTCATTCCATGGACTCTTCCAGATTCACTGCACTGTGCCCAGAAAAAAAGGCAAGCAGAGAGCAAAGTGTTAATCACCAATATTTCCCGTGGTCTCCCTGCAGCTGAACTTTCCTGCTACCTTCACAGTCTGTGCATGTCGGGAACATGCAAAAATGGCATGTTTTCCCAGCACACACAGAAACACACTGCTCTTTAGCAGACATGCAGCAGTGCAATTCATTTTTAACGTCACCTCCATGCATTAACATGCGTTTGTTTCTGTCTGCCAGTGCATGTGTTCATGTGTGCCAAAATGCATAGTCCTGCAGCATCGTAGCCACGTTCACACTCTGCGCATGTCGGGAACACGCACAAAGTTGTGAGTTTTCCCAGCACACACAGAAACACAATGATTTTTAGCAGACATGCGGTAGTGCAATTCATTCTTAATGGCACCTTAATGCATTAAGGTGCCTGTGTTCACGTGCACCAAAATGCATGTTGTTGCAGCACCATGTGATTCAGCACAGCGCAATTTTGCAAAATGGTCAGGGACTTTTTTTTGCACATTTTTCACATGTAGGACAGCCCAATGAAATGAATGGGCTGCCCTACAAATGACATGTGGGCGTCAGTTGCATCTGCATTGTGTGAACAGAGCCTTACCAGGCCTTGCACTGCACTCTGAAGGTGTCCATCATGGTAGAGGCAAGGCTTTGCCTTGGCCGTTAATGTGACTGGTTGTTGCAGAGGTCTGTGCCTTGATACAAGATACACTCAAAGCACTCAAATGCAGTTTTACATCTGTATCCTTACCCCTGCAGGGGCAGTTTGATAATGCTTGTCCTCAGTGGTTGCCCTGACCTTGCAAGCCTCCTGACACCTCTGGTGTCTAATTCACACTGGCATTGAAAGCAGACTTTTGGGGGCATTTTTAATGCTATTCAAACGCCTATGCAAATGATACTATGGGCAGCACACAGTGCTATTCACATTATCAAAACATGAAGCGTTAGTGTCGTGTCACTTCAAAATTTAAGCCTCATGTGGAGTCAGGAGGAGTTGGAAGCCTTTTGACGCCTCCCACTCAAGTCTATGGTGATGCTCCTCAAACACACTGGCAGGCGTTTGTGAGGCATTTATGGTGCGGTTGCAGTATTTCTGTTTATTTAGTTTTTGGTGTGGTTTTAATGCTTGTCAAACGCTTGTCAAAACTGCACATAGGGTGTTTGGGGAGCATTTTTAACACTTGTAAAAAACCAGTCTAATGCCCATACTAAAGCTCATTAATGCCTAACGCCCATACGAAAGCTAAATAATGCCTGTCTAATGCCCATACTAAAGCTCATTAATGTCTAATGCCCATACTAAAGCTCATTAATGCCTGTCTCTACCCACCCATACTAAAAGCTCATTATTGCCTGCCTAACGCCCATACTAAAGCTCATTAATGCCTGCCTAACGCCCATACTAAAGCTCAATAATGCTAAAGCTCATTAATGCCATACTAAAAGCTCATTAATGCCTGTCTAATGCCTGCTATAACGCCCATACTAAAGCTCATTAATGCCTAACGCCCATACTAAAGCTCATTAATGCCTGCCTAACGCCCATACTAAAGCTCATTAATGTCTAATGCCCATACTAAAGCTCATTAATGCCTGCCTAACGCCCATACTAAAGCTCATTAATGCCTGTCTAATGCCCATACCAAAGCTCATTAATGCCTAACGCCCAACGAAAGCTAATTAATGCCTGTCTAATGCCCATACTAAAGCCATTGTCTAATGTCTAATGCTAATGCCCATACTAAAGCTCATTAATGCCTGTCTAACGCCCATACTAAAGCTCATTAATGCCTGCCTAACGCCCATACTAAAGCTCATTAATGCCTGCCTAACGCCCATACTAAAGCTCATTAATGCCTGCCTAACGCCCATACTAAAGCTCATTAATGCCTGCCTAACGCCCATACTAAAGCTCATTAATGCCTGCCTAACGCCCATACTAAAGCTCATTAATGCCTGCCTAACGCCCATACTAAAGCTCATTAATGCCTGCCTGCCCATACTAAAGCTCATTAATGCCTGCTAAAGCCCATACTAAAGCTCATTAGGAGCATTGTCTAACGCCCATGGTAATGCCTAAGCCCATACTAAAGCTCATAATGCCTGCCTAACGCCCTTGTGAACTAAAGCCATTAATGCCTGTCTCAGCCCATATTTAAAGCTCATTAAACATTAAATGCAGGAGATACTAAAGCTCATTAAAAGAGCAGACCATGGAATGAATTCATGCCTGTTAATCCCCAGTTAAAGCACATAATGCCTGCCTAAGCCCATAAACAGCTCATAAATGCCTGAATAACGCCCAACTAAAGCAACATTAACAGAGCCTATATGGTCATACAAATGGTCATGTTATAACCTGGGCGGACTGACAACTCATTGGGGCCCCCTGGCAATAGGGGATCATAAAGACCATTAATGCCTCGCTCACACTCAAACCACACCCAAAAAAGCCTATGAAAGGTATCAGGGACATCTCATGGGGCCCCCTACTGACCCCGGGCCCTAATGGCAGTGCCCATAGTTCTCCAATGGTCAGTCCGTCCCTGGTTTTAACTATGTAATGCCTGCAACACCAGCAGCAGGAGGGGGGAAGAAATGCCTGCTTGTTGATGTATCAGCTCCAAGCCTGAGCCTGGTTCATGCCTGGCATCAGCTCCCCTGGGCCACTGGCTAAATCAGCTCCCTCTAGGGCCACTAGCATCAGCTCCCTCTGGCCCACCGGCATCAGAGCATCACAAGTTGAGTATCACATTCTCCGTCCAGCATCCAAGCTCTAGAAGAGGTCATTCTTAACAATAAAAGCAAAAACTGATAAATAGATGTTGCAATATGTCACAGTTAACAGCTTGTTATTCCATGCCTAGAATAATTGGTGCTGTCCTTACAAATCAGTAAGTCATACCCCCTAGCTGTAGTAGATTTTGGTGCCCTTGTTTCCTTTTTGCATCAACTAAACCACACCCAAAAAACTGAAAGGTTTTGTAATCTATGGGGTTATACTGACCCCGGGCCCTTTCAGTGTAAGTTCTATGGCTAAACGTCCCTGGTTTATAAAACTATGTAACTGTCAGCAAATTTTGAAGAAAGGCTTGTTGATGTTCGGTCCCTTCATTGAGCTCCCTACTGATTAACATCTTACTTTTCGAAAGGGGTGCTTTTTGTACTTATTTATGCTGAGCACTGTATATGTATAAGATATATATATATATATTGTGGGGTTAGCTCTCTGGGCCACTAGGTGGGGGATCTCCTTCCCTGGGAAAAAAGGTAGACCGCACAGCAGGCTTTCTTTAAAAATCTGACTGGTTGTCAGTTTTATTTAAAAGGTTTGCAAAAATCCTTAAAATCAAACAAAACATCAAAATAAACCCTGGCCATCCAGGCACTAACTAAACAGGTGGACATTTTTGCCCTCTAAATTCAGTAAAGGTGAAGGGATTCTCCCTGTCATCCAAAACAAACCTTTTCTTGTAGGTATAGGGGACACACACAATGTTCATAACACTTTTTGTCACAAATTTTGGAAACATTGAGTTACTGATTAACATCTTACTTTTCGAAAGGGGTGTACTTATTTATGCACAGCACTGTATGTATGTGTATATACACACATATATATATTGTGGGGTTAGCTCAGGTGGGGGATCTCCTTCCTGGGAAACAAAGGTAGACCGCACACACAGCAGGCTTTCTTTAAAATCTGACTGGTTGTCAGTTTTACAAAAGGTTTGCACACACATATCAAAACAACACAACACATCACAACAAACACACTGGCACACACACAGGCACACAACAACACACACACACACCACACATCACACACAACAAACACACACACACTCAGAGGTGAAGGGCTTCTCCCTGTCACACCCACAAACAAAAACAAACCTTTTCTTGTAGGTATAGGGGACACACACAGCTTCTCTGAGTCCCAGGCCATGAGCAACTCCTTGCTCTAGCCATGCCCTTTTTATATCACCTGTTGGTGGTCATCAGTGGAGCCCAAACTCTGGTCCGGGCCCACCTCCTCAACTGTGGCCCCGAAAACCCGGAGTGGACTCCACCTAAACTTCCAGGTATGAGCGTATGCGAGGTGACACATAGCGTCCCTCTATCACCTCGCCGTTCATACTGTCACATAATATATATATATATATATATATATATATATATATATATATATATATATATATATACACACTGTATTTTCTGGAGTATAAGACTACTTTTTATACTTAAAAATATACCCCAAAAATTGGGGGTCGTCTTATACGCGGGGTATAAAATGTGAACCTTGAGTTTGTTTGGGTCAAGCTGGCTGGATGTGTGGTAATACTGTACATACAGTATACCGTGCTGAGCCAAGCTGGCTCAAAACAAATGTCCCTATGACAGATTAATCTGTCAGCCCGCTGGATGTGCGGTATATACAGTATACTGCGCTGAGCCAAGCGGTTTCAAAACGTACCGGTACGTCCCTACTGTGATCAGCTGGATGCGTGTATGTACGGTAGCTGCGGCTACACACAGTATACACTGGGCCAATCACGGCGAGTGATGTATTCTACTAATGAATACAAAGCCTGCTCGGATTGGCTGAGTCAGAGAGGTGGGCTGATGATGTCACAACCTCAGCCAATCCGAGCAGGCTTTGTATTCATTAGTAGAGTACATCGCTCGCCGTGATTGGTGATTGATACAGCGTATACTGTATGTAGACTCAGCTACTGTACATACACATACAACGGTCTGATTACCGTAGGGACGTACCGGTACGTTTTGAAACAGCTTGGCTCAGTATACTGTATATACCGCACATCCAGCATGCTGTATATATACTGTATACTGTATGTAGCCGAAGCTACCGTATTACTGCACATCCAGCAGTAACCATCTGATTTGGAATTTGATCCATATGATGACTGTCTTACAAATGGATCACAAGATGTCATTCATGAACTTAATTAACAATTTAAAAATGTGATGTTTTTAAATGGTGTTGCCTCGGAAGGGGGGTAGTCTTATAGGGCAAGTATAGCCCAAACCTCTATATGATCCATGTGATCGAATAAAGTTTTTTGAATGAAAATAATGGTGCCTTTTTCATGGGCTTTTTTTGGGTTTGGGTTTGGGCGGGGACGCAGGGGCCCCATGGTCTCCTGTTGCCCGGGGACCCCATGAGTTGTCAGTCCGCCCCTGGGTATGGATAGAACAAATTGTCTTGAAGCTAAACCAGTTTGGTATAGACTGTCAGTCCTTTAAGACAAAATGTCCATAACTGTATGTTTGCCAGTACATTATATTTTTTACATGTATATTTGCAATTAAAATACTATATAAGTAAACCAGGTCAGTAGAATCTCATATTTATTTATTATTTCAGGTACTTATATAGCGCCGTCAATTTACTCAGCGCATTACATATATATTGTACATTCACATCAGTCCCTAACCCTCAAGGGGCGTACAATCTAAGCTCCCTAACTCACATTCATACATATACTAGGACCAATTTAGACAGGAGCCAATTAACCTACCAGCATGTCTTTGGAGTGTGGGAGGAAACCAGAGTACCCGGAGGAAACCCACGCAGGCACAGGGAGAACATGCAAACTCCAGGCAGAAAGTGCCATGGTTGGGATTTGAACTACTGACCCTAGGACTGCCAGGCAGAAATGCTAACCATTTAGCCAGACTCATTTACCTTTCCAACTGCTCCGTTTCCGCCACCCCCCTCTGCCAATCCCTCCACTGGCTTCCGATTGCGCAACGGATCAAATTCAAAATCCTAACACTGACGTACAAAGCTGTCCACCATACTGCCCTGAACTACATCACTGACCTAATATCCAAGTACCGCCCGCCAGCATGCACACTCCGCTCCTCAAGAGACCTCCTTCTCTCTAGTTCCCTGGTCTCCTCCTCCCATGCCCGCCTCCAGGACTTCTCCAGGGTGTCACCCTTTCCTCTGGAACTCCCTGCCCCAACCCATCAGATTATCACCTACTCTCCTCTCCTTTAGGCGCACCCTGAAAACCCATCTCTTCAGGGAAGCCTACCCCACCCCCTGCTAACTTGCCGACCACCTCCACTCTTCCTACCACTCCATCCCCCACAGCTATCTCCTCCTGTGCCACTATCCCCTCCCTCCTAGATTGTAAGCTCCAAAGAGCAGGGCCCTCAATCCCCTCATGTTTTGCATTGTATTAGTATTGTTCTGTCACATGTTCTGTCCCCCTTTGTAATGTACAGCGCTGAGCGAACTATTGGCGCTTTATAAATACTGTATAATAATAATAATAATAAAAATATTACTCCGCTTGGATTTTCAAGTAACCACTTTTGTTTAAGCAGTACTGCATCTGTCACACTGCTATTTTTTGTTAGGTACATATTGGGTTCATAAATCCGCACTAATTACGAGTGAGACGGAGATATTAATATGACATTTTTATATGTGTCATATTAGGTGGCTTTTTCTCGTTTGGTTGTTTAACGAGTATAGCCCAAAACCTATGTTTTAACTGGAAAATTAGGGGGTCGTCTTATACACCCAGTCGCCTTATACACCGTAAAATACGGTGTGTATATATATATATATATATATATAAGCTGGCATAAATTAGTATAGACACCCCAATTTGAATAACAATGGCTTAGATGTGAAGAGGTCCCTTAAACTAGAAATGGCAACTTGAGTCCTGAGATGTTTAAAGTTCCCAATGTGATAGTAGCCATTGCTGTCTGCTAGCAATTGTGGGGCCAATATACAGTAGTGCGTAATGGTAATTCAATGAATATAACAGGTAGGTTGTTGTAAATGCTCAAAGCAAAGATCTCTTGGTACTGAGGTGTAAAGGTATCTGTGTGTAGTGTCTCGAGAATTTTGTCAGAACCAATCCCATAGGTAGCAAGGCCTCTGCTTTGGGTGTCATGCTTGTAACAGTTAACCTTGAAATGCCACGTGGGACTTGTAGTTCAGCAACACCTGGGGGGGCACAGTTTGTGTACCGATAAGGGATCTATTTATAAAGGTTTTCACACAAAATCAATGGCCCCTTTCACACTCATCCTTTGTGTGTGCGGTCAGCGCAGTGTATCCATGAATTTTGTGTGGGTTGCTTGTGCTTTGCCATAGACTTCCATTAGATTGGGCAGTT